TGTTACTGTGTCCAAATGACTCACAAGAGGACATGGGATCTCTGGTTAACTAACTTGTCCAGGAACAGTGAGGCAATGAGGAAACCAGAATTCAAACCCAAGAATTCTGACTCCAGAGTCAAACTCTAGTAGCTATGAGATTTGAACATCATAAAATGGCCCCAAGCCTCACATTCCACATACGGAAAATGAGAATAAATGTAGGCCCCCTGACATTGAGGGGTTGTGAGATTTGCTGCATTAAAATTATTTCTTGTGCTGATGGTGTAGCTCAGTGGCAGAACATTTATCTAGGATATATGAGGCTCTTGGATCTATTCCCAACATTGCAAAATAAAGAAAGAAAATTACCTATTTCTTGTAAATTACTTAAGAAAAAGAAATATAATTGTGAGAGCTTTTGAAATACAATCTTAAAATTTTCTTTAGTTCCCAAGATTATTTATACCATACATATCCAACAGGTTTTGTTCTCATTTCTGAATATTTTTTCCATTTTATTCCATTGGTACAGAGTTCTTTACAGAGCTATGAAAGGCCTATTTTTATCATCAGATACTAAGAAAACACATAAGAAGGAGATGGCACGTTTTTCAAGGAGTAAGGACATTTGGTAGTAGAGATTTTGGAAAGATGATGACAGCACTAGCTATAGAATTCTTCAATCTTCTCCAAATAACTGCATAAAAACAGAACAACTAGAGAACAAAAGTGTAATGTATAGATATTTTTCAAAAAAATCTATGTTACATGATATCATCCAAAACCTTCAAACTCAAATAGATGAGGACAAACCACCAACAGTCACATTACCTACACGGCACCAATATCTGCAAGAGGAAAAAGAAATATAGCTCTCCATATCTGTGGGTTGTGCATCTGCAGATTCTGCATTTGCAGCTTCTGCATCCATAGATGCAACCAACTGCAGATCAAAAATATTCAGGGGAAAAATTGTACCTTTACTGAAAAATGTAGATTTTTCTTATCATTATTCCCTATACAATACAGTATTACATCAATGTACAGCTTTACACTGAATTAGATATAAATAATCTAGAGGGGATTTAATGTACATGGTCAGATTTTCATAGGTTGTGTGCATGTATTACCACACCCCCTTTTGCTTGTGGTGCTGGGGATGGAACCCAAGGCCTCATGTATGTTTAGCAAGTACACTGTACTCTGCATTGAGCTACAACCCATCCTACTTTTTTTTTTTTGGTACTGGGGATCAAACTCAGGACCTTGCAGTTGTGAGGCAGGCGGCAGAACCACTGAGCTAAATCCTCGGCCATTCAGCCATCGTATTTTTGAAAAGGGGTCTTGCTATCTATTTGGAGGGGGCTCCAACACTTGAACTCAAGTGATCCTCCCACCTGAGCCTCCAAAGAACTGTGACTACAGGCAAGTGCCACCATGCCCAGCTCTATACTCCCAAACAGATACCAAGAGATAACTGCAATGACACAGTATCTAACTGGATAACAGTATAACAATCTAACCAATACACTGGAAAGAGCCACTGAAATAAAAAAGGTTTTGGTCTTTTTCAATACCAGGCAAGTGAGTCAAAGGGCCCAGCTCAAGAGGCACTGAAGTGCTAGAGCAGCATAACTGGGGTATACTCTCATAACTGATACCTCAGGACTCCCTTCTAAGACAGGATTCCACAATTATAGGAAGCTTCTGGCAGAAGCACAATTCAAATGAAATGAACAAGAAGAGAGAAGGAAATAAGAAGGTGCAAACCTATGCTGTCCACACATATTCACACGTGTGGACTCAAGTACTTGAAATGTAGCTAGTTAGAACTGAAATGTGCTATAAATTGAAAACACAAATTTTGAAGACTATTTAATAGGATAAAAATGTAAAATAAATTTTTGGGGAGTAGTACTGGGGATTGAACCCAGGGCCTCTGCACTGAAATAGACCCCCATCCCTTTGAGACAGTATCTCACTAAATTGCTTATGTGGCACCAACTCATAATTCTCCTGCCTCAGCCTCCCTGGAATTACAGGCATGCATCATGAAAGCTGGTTTCATTAGTATAGTGATTGCATGCTAAAATAACTTTTGATAGGGTGAGTTAAATGTTACTAAAATTGAGCTAGGTGTGATGGCATATGCCTGTAATCTTAGAATTTAGGAATCTGAAGCAGGAGGATTTTGAGTTTGAGAACATCTTGGGCTATATAGCGAGTTCAAAGCTAGCCTGGACTACATGCCTTAAAACCCTCCCAAAATATTAAAATCAAAGTTTACACATTTTAAGATTTGGCTATTAGAAAATTATAAATTACATGTGTAGCTAGCATTGTATTTCTACTAGACAGCACTCCATATTTCTGAAGTTTTAAATGTCTAAATGACATCTCAAGTAGAGAGGTCAATTAGGCAGCTGGACATACATGACTGGAGTGCAAGGGTATGAATCAGCATAGAATATTTAAATTAACCAGTTTAAAAATGTTTAAAGACACGAGACTAGATGGGATTTCCTAGGAAGTAAACAAGTATACGGTAAAAAGGCCAAAAACTTAGGTTCAGGACCTTCAACATTGAAAGATGTATAAAGTGGGAAAGGTGTAAGAAAATGTGGGGTGAATGTATAAAAAGCAGTCTCTAAAGACCAAGAAAGAGTGCCTATCAAGCAGCAGAGTGTGATCAATGGTGTGAAATGCTGCCAAAAGTTTGAGTAAGATGAAGTCCAAGAAGTTTCTACCACATTCTGCAGTGTGGAGGTCTGTTGTATAACAGTATTTGGTACATTCAAAAAAGGAATATGGGAATGATCAAAGGTCAAGAGAAAAAAAGAGTTTGTGGTCAACAGAGGCTATATAGATTCTGGTATGGTGGGTTTGAACTAAAGACATTAAATTATGGTCCACTCCCAAGCAGATAAAAAAATCCAGGAGACCCACTAAAATACTAGTATGAACGCAGGGTGGGGGTGGGGGGATGGTATCTCTGATTTAGCCTACAATGCTGAAATCCTAGGACTTAAAGTATTGCTTCCCTAAAATATAGGGTAGTTATCTCAATATTCCAGGAGGCTGAGGCAAGATGATCTAAAGTTTGAGCCTAGCCTGAGCAATTTAGCAATGTTGTCTCAAAAAAAGAAGTAGTGTGGGGATGTAGCTCTATGCAAAGGCCCTGGGTTCAATCTCTGGCACTGTAAAAAAAAAATGGGGTACAAGGAGGTGCAAGGGGGTGTTGTATAGTTGGAGTCACCACTATAGACAGGTATGGCTCACTAGATACATATCCTTGGATGTCTAAGAGCTTTTTATACACATGGGCCAGCCACTGATCTTTTTAGTATCTGGGACAAAAGTATAAATGAACGTCCTGGCCAATGTTCTCCATATCCTCTTCTCATTGCCAATTATGTCCTACACTAGTGATGGCTAATCTTTAATTAATTAATTTATTTATTTATTTTTGGTACCGGGGATAGAACTCAGGACCTTGCGCTTGCGAGGCAGGCAGCGGAACCACTAAATCCCCAGCCCTGATGACTAATCTTTTAGACTGAGTTCTCAAACTGCAACCTCAAACCCACTCATTTATCACAAAGTGCCAACACTGCAATTAAACCTGAATATCGAGGTTTTAATTTAGAAAAAACAAGTCATACACTTGGTTCACGAGCCAAGAGAGGGCTCTGCATGCCTGCTGCAGCACATGTGCCATAAGTTCACCACCACTGTCCTATACCACAAAGTGTCTCACAACTAACCCTAACACCACCTCAGCCTGTACCACCAAGATTTGTCTATTCTTTGCTACCATGCACACAGCTGCTTGTCTACCTTTGGGCCAAAGAATGTGTGAATAATAGTCCCATACTTCCCTTCCTCAGAAAGGACCCTGAGATTAAGGCCTTGCAGGTCATAGATAAAGCCTTGGGGAATGAGAATATATGAAACATTTTCTACAAGTGGCAGTGTGTTGGGACCTGGTGAGCACATCCCCTTGTCCCTGTGAACTCTTAGTACTATAGCGTAAATACAGCACAAAAAGGACCTATGTATTACTTTCTAAAATATAAGGCCCAGGACTAGGCCAACGTCTATATCTATATTGGTCACATACTAGAAAAGCAGAGAGGATATGAACAAAAGAAAGTTTCTTTTACTGGAGTATTTGTATTTTTTTCAGTCTAGCCTTTAACATAGTCTCCACAACAACGTAATTTTTTTTTGAAAAAGTTTCATCATAGAAATAGTTATATGGTCAAAAGAAAAACATAAATGTTGAGATCATATTGCCAGTCCAAAAATAGATATACTCTGCTCAAATCATAGTGTGCCCATAAATCTAAATGTCCACACACACACAAATTTCTCACTTTATCCCATACCTACTCACAAGCTCAGCCGACTCTTTTTACATTGGGATTATCCATCAACATTTATTCTCATTAACTATCTGACCATTTTCTAATCAGTCATTAACTTGAACTGCTCTCCTAAGACCTGTCTCAATCCTGAACTCAGGAACTCCAGTTGTTCTCTATAGAAACTGAGACCTTCTGCCCTCAGTCTCTTGATTCTTGCTGCTCCTCCCTTACTGATCCTGGATCTTCCTCCAAGCTTCCCTACTCCCATTTGGGTTATGGCCCAAGATCACCCTCCCTCTTCTTTACCACCACACTTGATTGTGTGTCTCATCTTTTCTGACCCCGGCAATTGCCATTACCTCTCCTTTTTCCTGCCATCTAGGGCTAAATTTTGTCCCCTTTTCTTCTCCCAGTTGCAAATCACTTATGCTAAGAGGGTACACAGTGTTTTATGTGGGAAGTTCCTGGATAGAACTCCATTTCCAACAGTGGGAGTAATTACTAGGGCAGTATTTTATTCCTTCTCCCTTCCATGTAATCAGTTAATATTCTAATAACTCTTTAATATTCCAAATATGACACAGATACTTTTAAACATAAAAAGCACTTTTTAGATGATACTAACAATTTTATTAAGATGTTTCATTACATAAAAGCAACTTAGAAAACTGAACTTTCTTCAAACCAGGGACAAAGTCAGGTTCACTTGAGGAAGGGACTGGAATCAAGGGGCAACAACAGGTATGTCCTGGGCAGTAGAGTCATAGGGAGAGGAGGCTTCAAAAAATAGTTAATATCTAGAACTCTTGGAAACTTCACAGGTAAGCACAAAGTAACCATTCATGCATCTAGCTGATTGAGAGTCATTCTTTCTGTGTGTCCTGGAGAATGATCATCACAGTACAGGTGGTTCAGGGGAAGGAGGGCCCCTTATTTCCTCCTGCTCTCCTGAAATGGCAGCGCCCAGGGCATCCAGCTCAGGCAGCAAGGCACGCCTTAGACTGTCAGGGCTAGGAGTACGGATAGACCTCAGGCCATAGAAATTAGGAGAGGAAGAGGAACTCTGGCCAGAAAACTCACTGGAGGAAGAGGAGGGGCTTAGGATTACAGACGTTAAGGAGGAAGAGGAGGAGGAGAAGGAGGAGGAGGAGGAGGAGGAGGAGGAGAAGCGCTCATCATAAATCCTAAACAAAGGAAAATACCTACCAGGAGGTGAAGGTGAAGAGGCACGCATACGAACAGCACGATGAACAGGCTGGGAGGGCGGGCATTGGGCCTCAGGATCAGGAGAAAGAGAGGTCCTCTGAAGGACAGGCTTTCTTAAGGCGGCAGGAGCTAAATGATTCCACCCACCCGACACAGGAAGAGCACCCTGCCTGAAAAGGGCGGGCCTTTGCAGAGGGGAGCTGCTCAGGGAAACAGAGCATGACCTTGCTGTGCGGTTTCGTACAGCAGGGCCTGGCGGGGTGGCGCGGCGGCGGCGGACTTTAGCGCCAGATCCGGACGCACTGCTGCGGAGACCAGGGCCTGGTAGGGTGGCGCGGCTGCGTTGAGCAGGGCCAGGCCCGGATGCGCTGCTGGGAACAGGGCCTGATGGTGTGGCGCGGCGGCGGACTTTCGCGCCAGAT